CCCCCGTCCCCAAGTTAGACAACAGGATACATGTTTTCCACAAGAACTTGAGACTTCAGTTGCCACTTTTTGATGGGTTGACAGTAAATTTTAACCTTGTGTTTATGGGACCAATCTAGAGTTAGCTGTCTTTATAGGTAAGTGATGAAGTATTCTCTCAGTCAGGCAGCTCCAGTGACTTTGTAAAAACTTATTTTCTGGTCTTTTATCAATGTGAATGTTTTCTCTCATAGTGCTCTGAACATAAATGTTAAGCTATTATCTTAGTGGGCTTTATGTAAGTTATATAGTGTTAATTTGGAACTTGGAAAAGCACTAGTGTGATGTAGGATCTTAGCATGTACTCTGAGAGTTGAGGAAGATTTTTTTTATGATCAGTAAATTTACCATGTAATATTGCTGTAAATGATAATGTGTACAGATACTCTGTTCATGTATTCAATTGTAAACTTGTCAATATTTGCATTTCTATTGCTTTTGTATGGAATGATAATTACAAAAATAAAGATGTTTTAACTGATTTGTAACATTGCCCTGTACTGTGTAGTGGGATGGTCAGGGCAGGCTTTTCTTTTGTTCCTGAAGCACTTGCATGGCACACGGGAATGACATTTCCCTTTGGTGAGAGAAGCATGCCCAGATCTGCTGGGTAGTGCCAAGTACAGACACTTGACCTGTTAAGTTCTTACACATTTCATCTGTGAGGGGACCTTGACAGGTATACTCTGGTATGGGACCTGGTTAAATGTCAGTGTAGATACTTGACATCTGTCTACCTGTAGGTTCTATGACAGCCACAGTAGATAACCCTGAAGGCTATATTCTTTTTATAGTAGGTGCGAGACCATCTGTTTAGTGATCAGGTTGAGGTGAGTGAGTAGGGTGGGGTAGGGAACGTGGGAATTGCCACTTTTCAGGGAGTCTATAGATGGCCTCATAGGTGGCATTTGAGTCAGGACAGCCTAAAATGTGGAGGCTAGGAGGACTTGGAACAATTGGTGAAAGCTGCCCATGCACTTGTTCCCTTGTGCTGGGTAACGCTGGGTGAAACATAAGGAACTGTCTGTCTTGTTGCGGGGGGGGGT